AAATTGGCAAAGATGAAGTCAAGCTTTCGCTTTTTGCAGATGACATGATATTATACATGGAAAATCCGATAGACTCCACCAAAAGTCTGCTAGAACTGATACATGAATTCAGCAAAGTTGCAGGATACAAAATCAATGTACAGAAATCAGTTGCATTCTTATACACTAACAATGAAGCAACAGAAAGACAAATAAAGAAACTGATCCCATTCACAATTGCACCAAGAAGCATAAAATACCTAGGAATAAATCTAACCAAAGATGTAAAGGATCTGTATGCTGAAAACTATAGAAAGCTTATGAAGGTAATTGAAGAAGATTTAAAGAAATGGAAAGACATTCCCTGCTCATGGATTGGAAGAATAAATATTGTCAAAATGTCAATACTACCCAAAGCTATCTACACATTCAATGCAATCCCAATCAAAATTGCACCAGCATTCTTCTCGAAACTAGAACAAGCAATCCTAAAATTCATATGGAACCACAAAAGGCCCCGAATAGCCAAAGTAATTTTGAAGAAGAAGACCAAAGCAGGAGGCATCACAATCCCAGACTTTAGCCTCTACTACAAAGCTGTCATCATCAAGACAGCATGGTATTGGCACAAAAACAGACACATAGACCAATGGAATAGAATAGAAACCCCAGAACTAGACCCACAAACGTATGGCCAACTCATCTTTGACAAAGCAGGAAAGAACATCCAATGGAAAAAAGACAGTCTCTTTAACAAATGGTGCTGGGAGAACTGGACAGCAACATGCAGAAGGTTGAAACTAGACCACTTTCTCACACCATTCACAAAAATAAACTCAAAATGGATCAAGGACCTGAATGTGAGACAGGAAACCATCAAAACCCTAGAGGAGAAAGCAGGAAAAGACCTCTCTGACCTCAGCCGTAGCAATCTCTTACTCGACACATCCCCAAAGGCAAGGGAATTAAAAGCAAAAGTGAATTACTGGGACCTTATGAAGATAAAAAGCTTCTGCACAGCAAAGGAAACAACCAACAAAACGAAAAGGCAACCAACGGAATGGGAAAAGATATTTGCAAATGACATATCGGACAAAGGGCTAGTATCCAAAATCTATAAAGAGCTCACCAAACTCCACACCCGAAAAGCAAATAACCCAGTGAAGAAATGGGCAGAAAACATGAATAGACACTTCTCTAAAGAAGACATCCGGATGGCCAACAGGCACATGAAAAGATGTTCAGCGTCGCTCCTTATCAGGGAAATACAAATCAAAACCACACTCAGATATCACCTCACGCCAGTCAGAGTGGCCAAAATGAACAAATCAGGAGACTATAGATGCTGGAGAGGATGTGGAGAAACGGGAACCCTCTTGCACTGTTGGTGGGAATGCAAATTGGTGCAGCCACTCTGGAAAGCAGTGTGGAGGTTCCTCAGAAAATTAAAAATAGACCTACCCTATGACCCAGCAATAGCACTGCTAGGAATTTATCCAAGGGACACAGGAGTACTGATGCATAGGGGCACTTGTACCCCAATGTTCATAGCAGCACTCTCAACAATAGCCAAATTATGGAAAGAGCCTAAATGTCCATCAACTGATGAATGGATAAAGAAATTGTGGTTTATATACACTATGGAATACTACGTGGCAATGAGAAAAAATGAAATATGGCCTTTTGTAGCAACGTGGATGGAACTGGAGAGTGTGATGCTAAGTGAAATAAGCCATACAGAGAAAGACAGATACCATATGGTTTCACTCTTATGTGGATCCTGAGAAACTTAACAGGAACCCATGGGGGAGGGGAAGGAAAAAAAAAAAAGAGGTTAGAGTGGGAGAGAGCCAAAGCATAAGAGACTGTTGAGAACTGAGAACAAACTAAGGGTTGATGGGGGGCGGGAGGGAGGAGAGGGTGGGTGATGGGTATTGAGGAGGGCACCTTTTGGGATGAGCACTGGGTGTTGTATGGAAACCAATTTGACAATAAATTTCATATATAAATAAAAAAATAAAATAAAATAAAATAAAATAATAATAATAAAATTAACATGAAGCCATTCATTTGGATGAAGATTCCTATTTCTCTTTACCATCTCTTAATCATGGTTAGATAGTAAGTAGATCTGAGTCAGAGAGATTCAAGTTCAGGTCTTGACTTTATCCCTCTTAGCTGTATGTCTTTCAGCAAATTGCTTAATACCACCAAGTATGCTTTCTCATTCATAAAACAGACACAAAATGATAACAAAACACACCCTTCCAACCTCCCAGAGTTGTTTTGATTACAAAAATTGTGTATATATAGGCACTATGCAAATATCCATAGCTATTTGAGAGATTCTTGCAGAGTCTTGGTTACCAAATTGAGTTTCTCAAGGTATGATAACCACATGTTATAGTAGGTCAAATATGGGAATTACTTAAATTCCAGTGATAGCCCTTCTCTGGAGCCTGGTTAAATAAGCTGTCATGTTAAGCACTGGTGATGGAAAAAGAATTTGAAAGAATCAGCTAGCTGCCTGCCCTCTTGTCTTTCTAATTCCATTTCAAGGCACTGTAAGTGTCATAGCAAATGATGATTCTAGTGGTACATGCAAAATATGCCAAAAAATGCTCGATAACTCATAGTAAACTTATATGTACCTCCTATAAGATCATTCTTTTTTCTACCATATAAATTGTGTGTTTATTCTCTACAGAGCCTCCCTCTTTTCTTTTTATTAGTATGGTTTTATTCACTCAACAAACATTTGTTGATCACCCACAGTGGGGCAAGCCTCAGACTAGTGTTGATGCTGTAGGTCATGGAAGGCAGGGTCTATACCCTTGTGAGTATCATGATCTAGTAAAGGAAAAAATATCTAAATGACCAAGTACACCATGATATTTGCCATCACAGAAGTGAGTAAAATTTCTGTGGATAGGGGTGTAGGGGAAGAGTAACCCAGGCAGAGAGAATGGCAGGGGCACAGGTTCACATGGGTGGGGAAGGGAAGGTCTTATGTGAAAGTAGATCACATGCTGGAGCTTCCAGGGTGTAGAACATGAGAAGAGGAAAATGAGATGGGTCCTAGATAAGTAGCCGGGGCCCAGGCTGGAGAGCATTTTATGTCAAAGGGAAGGGTTTAGATTTTATTCCTCAGCCAAAGGTAGTCCAGAGAATCATAAGCAGGACAATGGCCACACTGGACACGCCCTAGCCCTTGGAGATACAACTTTAAGAAATGCTTCCCATAGGAAATATGTTATTGTGGTTATCTTATCTAGGGAAGTCTATTTTTGCTTGTGGGTTGAGAGAATGAGATCTCAGCAAATGGCCTAGAATCTGTATGATCCCTACAATAATACCCCAACACATGTTAGAACATGTGTTCGAACAAAACAGCTGCTTGGCTTCATGCCTTTTAAAATCTCCTGCTAGAAAGAGTACCTTGGAGAGCAAATGTATCAAGCAAGGTAACTGAAGGAATCTGGCAAAGGCAACAAGAAGATGCCATGAGAAGTGCAGAAGAAGATGAGAAAGAGTGATGGAAAACTAACAGAGAGATGGTCCAAAAATGGTTGGGCTCTCCACCAGTGCCCCATGCACAAGTAGGTTGAGTGAAAATCAATAACTCATTCCCTGATGGAAAAGGGCATAATTCAAAAAAAAAAAATCAGAAAGTCAAGATAAGAAACAACATTCCAGAACCACACAGGAACTTCTGACATAAAACATACTTATAGATGGTGTTAGCAACCAATGGGAAATTAAAATGAAGTGGTTGACATCTTTTTGTCTGTGACCTAGGTAGATTTACCCCCCCTTGGAGTAGTACTGATGGACACCAAAAGTAGAAGTGATAAAAGAATAGATTGGTAGAGGGGTGCCTGGATGGCTCAGTTGGCTAAGCATCTGACTCTTGTTTTCAGCTCAGGTCATCATCTCACAGTTTGTGAGATCAAGCTTCACATTGGGCTCTGCACTGATGGCACAGAGTCTGCTTTGGATTCTCTCTCTCCCTGTCTCTTTGCCCCTTGTCTGCTGGCGTTTTCTCTCTAAGTAAATAAACAAACAAAGAAACATTTAAAAACATAATATATTGGTAGATATGACAACCTAAAACGTAATACTCCTTTACATCAAAAATCTACAGGTACAAAAAAAAAAAAAAAAAAAAACCTACACGTACAAATATAAAAGACAAATCCAGAGGAGAATTTTTATGCACAAAGCTGTCTTTAATCCTTTTATTTATTCTCATGAAAAATTGGAGACAACCTACTAATCTGACAATCAACTTCTAAAAAGGAGTTATGAGGACCAGTAAATGTGGAAAGTGCTCACAAATGCATCTAGGTAAGTAATAAAAACTATGGCATTCTGAATATATATTATGATTTATCTAGGTAATAATAAAAGTGCCTTGCATAAAATATCTAGAGAAAATTTTGAAATGTTAGTTACTCCTTATTCCCTTGGATAAATGTTATCAACCAAAGCCAACAGGAATGTTTCCAGGCACGAGGGTTCAGCATTAACTATCAAATCCATCGACTGGGGATTCCTTTATCTTATTTTCAGAGTCTGATCCCTCAGCTTGGGCTGGGAAAAGCCATCTATGGAAATAAGGATGTCCTTAGAGATTGTAACATGAATCTTTCTTTCCCCCTTTGGGGGCCAATGATAGATGTAGCTACTCAGGCTCCTAATAATTCCAGAACGAAAAAGTCAGTGCTGTTTTCCCTCTCTGGTACCTCCCATGGCCCTTACCTTCTGTTTGGCAAAAGCAGAGGTGAGGAACAGTATATACAGAGAAGGCACATCATAAGCATTCAAGCAGAGGGCTTCTCTTGCAGTTTCTTGGAGGTGACACCAAAACTCATTCAGCTCCTTGCTCTGTAAGTACCTAGCACAAAGCAAGTGCTCCATAAATGCTAGATAAAATGTATCAGAAGCAGGCCATCTTGGAACCTGCAGAGGCCTGATGGGAACAGGACTCCTAAAATGACAAGTATGTCTAGAAGGCTGTGGTTCAAGGCCATTCTTTGGGGCTATACGTGAGGTCTCTGGAACCAAAGGGAGCATGCAACTCTTCTTAAAATTGAAGGTGTTGGGGCGCCTGGGTGGCGCAGTCGGTTAAGTGTCCGACTTCAGCCAGGTCACGATCTCGCGGTTCATGAGTTCGAGCCCCGCGCCGGGCTCTGGGCTGATGGCTCAGAGCCTGGAGCCTGTTTCCGATTCTGTGTCTCCCTCCCTCTCTGCCCCTCCCCCATTCATGCTCTGTCTCTCTCTGTCCCAAAAATAAATAAACGTTGAAAAAAAAATTGAAGGTGTTTATGCTCAAGATTAAACTGAATTCTATTTAGGCAAGGTATGTGCTTGTGTGTACAAAGCAAAGACCAACACTTCTGGTGGCAAACCGAACAAAACTAGAGTAATCTGGGGAAAAGTAACTTGTGCTCATGGAAACGGTGGCATGGTTTCTACCAAATTCCAAAGCAACCTTTCCACTAAAGCCATTGACCACAGAATCTGTGTGATACTGTACACCTCAGGATTTGAAATTACTGAAAAGTAAATAAGTAAAGGTATAGATTTGTTCTCTTGCAGAAAAAAAAAGTATCGGAAGCATGAACAAATTTCATATTTAACCAAGTCTCCTGATAAAAGATAAATAAATGCCATATGAAAGCCAGAGTTTATTCTAAAGGTCAAGAAAGATGACATACTCTATTATTAATGGACTCTTTTGTGTCCTTCCCAGATGAGAAAGTTGTCACTTGTGTAAATGAAGTGGACCCTTGCCTTATTCTTACACCATATCCACCAGCTGGTGTGGGAACCTAAAAAGAGTGTTTCCCTTTCTGAGTCAACAACAACATTACACCCACAAGGTAGAGGATTGGAGGGTGGGCATAGATGAATGTGCAAAATGGCACCAGCTCATGGGTGCCACATGGCAATACCCATATCAGACATGTCCTAACAGTCTATGTGTCCATGTGGAGCAGGAATGAACTGCTTAGCACCAAAAAGAAAGACTACATAATGGAAGAATCAGAGTTCACAATGGAACTCAGTAGAAATAGAATGGACACAAATCTCTATGGCTTTATGCCAAGGCCCTACTGAAAGATTCTGCTTGTCACCTTTTACTGGAAAAGATACCCATGGGTGCATCAGTGCTATTTCCAACTAGGTTGCCTCCACCTAGCTGGAATTGCCATGGGAAGGTGTGTATGGGGAGGTTTTTGTTGTTGTGTTGTTTTGTTTTGTTTTGTTTTGTTTTGTTTTGTTTTAGAGAGATACAGAAGAGCACAGAAGAGAGTTTTTTTGTTGTTTTTGTTTTGTTTTGTTTTGTTTTAGAGAGAGACAGAAGAGCACATACAAGTGGGGTGAGGGGAAGAGGGAGAAGGAGAGAGAGAGAGAGAGAATTCCAATCAGACCCTATGCTCAGCATAGAGCCCAACACAGGGCTAAATCCCACAACTCTTGGATCATGACCTGAGCAGAAATCAAGAGTCAGAAGCTCAACCAATTGAACCACCCAGGCACCCCAAGGAAATTTTGAAAGGAGAACTACAAAACAACAGTTCTCTCAGGAAGCTGACAGCCTACCAAGGCATCTTGGGGCTCCTGAGTGTGCAGACCTGAGTCCAAACTCCAACCTGGCCCCTAGCCAACCCTATAGCCTTAGGCAGGTGCCAACTCCTAGACCATACCCTTTGGCTTTATGTATAAGGTAAAGGTGGTGCAATTGGGGATTCCTGCTCCTCCAGCTGCTACTGGCATGATTTAGCAGAGTGGTATGACAACCTGAAAACTTCCTCTAGGATGCGTAAGAACAGGAGGACAGACACCATTCATGTAGGATTTCCACAGTAGCACTCAGGGAAAGGAAATCCCTGGGCACCAAGAGTTCTGGAAAGCACAGAATGCCTGAAGCCCCATGTTTACCAAACCTAGAAGGTCATGGTTTGTGACTTATCTGTCTTCCCCATATCCCCAGCATAGCTGTCTATTTGCTTGGGCAGTGGGTATGAATCCAGTTCATAAAACTTGGGTTTGCAAGCAACATGACCTTATTTTGTTACAACTCAAATTCTATTTGAAGCCTTGTTCTGTTTGAAGGCAGAAAATATCATCTTGGTCAATTCCAGGTAACCTTAGCATTCTAGGTTTAAACTCAAACAGTTCAAGTTTTCCTCACCCTCTTTCTTTTCCCAGGAGCGACATCATAGTGCAGAGGCCTCATGCAGCATCACAGCATTGGTCCTGGATAAAAGGAAAGACTTCATGTTTCCCTGTTCTCATTTCTAGGTGGGGAGATGTTTGTAGGTAATACTCCAGGATCATTTCCTTTCTCCTCCATGAGGTATCTAAGAGAAGGAGCTAGGCCTGCCCTTCTCCATGGCTCCCTCTTTTGGGGATTCATATGCAGAGAGCATCCATTTCACTCTGCCCCTCCCAGGAAAGGGCTGGGGTAGCCTGTGCCTTCTGTGAATGAACCAGTCCATGAACACTGGTATTCCACTCCAACCAGCAACAGCCTCCTACCTTGCCTTTCTCACTTATAAAGATGATGCTTGGATTTATAACTGCATGACTTACATGTGTGTCAACTATTTCTGAACTTAGGTGACAAACAGGGATGTCATGTATGAGTGCCCTCAAATCCTTATGGGTGGTGTCTGCCCATATAGGAATCTGCTGATGTGTCTGTATTCCTCTCTGATCCCTGGCTACAGGGCACTAGCCAATGTCAGCTGATGTAAACTCCATCATGACCATGAACCTGCCAGCACCTGTTCTCTTGGCTAATGCCCTTCTCAAGGACAAAGGAAAATTTGTATTCCTTCTTCTGTCCCACTGAGAACTTTCGGGCTCTTCCTGACCTTGATAGCCCCCGTGTCTTTACTGCTCTCATTCTATAGTGGTACAAGGATGCTGCCTCATTGGCTTCTCTTTACTTCTGGATCCCTAAATTCCTCTGGGAATCATGTAGTTTCAGAGTACCACCTATAATAGTTTCCTGTAGCTGCTGTAACAAATTACTATAAACTGGGTGGCTCACAGCATAAACATACTCAGTTATGGAGGCCCCAGATGTCTGAAATCAAGGTGTCAGCAAGATAGCAGCAGGGCCATGCTCTCTCTGAAGATGTTAGAGAAGGGTCCTTCGTTGTCTCTTCTAGCTTCTGGTATTTTCCAGGAATCATTGGTGTTGTTGGACCAGTAGATGAGTTACTCCAATCTCTGCCTTTGCATACATGTGATCTTCTCCCCCGTGTCTGTCTGTCTTTGTGTCTAAATCTCCTCTTCTTATAGGAACACCAGTCACTGAATCTACTATGACTTCATCTTAATTCGTTTTCATCTGTAAAGACCTTATTTCCAAATTAGGTCATATTCACAAGTACAGGAAGGCTAGGAACTTCAACATATCTTTCTGGGAGACACAATTTAACGCACAAACACAGCCCCTTTCCAGATGGTATCACCTGTCACTTTCTCTCTCATTTCATTTCCAACTCTTTCTTCTGTAAACCAAAGATATTTTAAACACTTTTTCAGGTGGGGAAAATACTACCTTTGGTAGCTATCCTACCGAATCTTCTTCCCTTAGCCATGAAGAGCAGTTTTCCATTCGTTTGCTTCATTTAAAAGCCAGGAATTTGGTGTTCTTTGTTTTCCAGCTTCTGAAGTGTCCCTTCCTTGGTGGAATAGAGGTCTTCTGTCCAGAAGCAGGAATGGAGAGAGGGTCCTCTGGAAACAGGCATGGATGGAAGCACATATTTCTCATTATCTTGACACATATATGTTTACTTCAAAACGTTTTCTGAGTCTTTATTGATTTTCACTGTTTCTTTTTTCAGCTTTCTACCACTATTGAGATCTTGTGGCTCCAAAAATCCCTATTAAGAATGAAGATAGATAAAGGGGGCACCTGGGTGACTCAGTCAGTTAAGCTTTTGAATCTTGATTTTGGCTCAGGTCATGAACTCATGGTTTGTGAGATTGAGCCTCACAATGGGCTCCACACTGTGTGGAGCCTGCTTGGGATTCTCTCTCCCTCGCTCTCTGCTCCTCCCCCATGCAAGCTCACTGTCTGTCTCTCCCTCAAAATAAATAAATAAATATTTAATTTTTAAAAAGAGTGAAGATAAATATGAAAGGCATGCCAATTTGCAGAACTGGCTCTCCTTCTAAAGGCTTTACAGACTGTTGGTGAGAAAGCTGTATTTAGCATACCTCTATCCAAAGACCTTGGTGCCCACCCAATGATGTAGGTAAAAGGGGAAAAGAGCCATTCTAACAAAAATACTGTCCACAGTAGAGCCCCAAATTCAATTTTAGAGGTTTATTTTGAGGGGTTTGACTCCCTATCTCCAAGAGTTCTTCTTCAAAATACAGACACCAACAAGAGACATGTAAACCCAATGATCATTACATCCACATTTTTCACTATTTCCAGATGTAAGCCCTCTTTTGACAAACCTAAAAATATCATGGCATTCTTTAGAGTTATTTGGAATTTCAAAGTAAATAGGATATCATGAGGGGGGAAAAAAGGACAAAATAAGAAGTGTTTTGACTACAATCTATATGGCTCTACCCTATGCCCTGGGAATTCTAATACCACCCCCACCCCACCCCACCCCCCACACACAAACACAAAGAGGCACATTGCCCTTCTCACTGCTCCATGATAATCACTACTCACAGGGCTGTAAGATCTTGATTGTCTGGGGGGGCACATGGGTGACTCAGGCTAAGGTTAAGCATCCAACTTGGGCTCAGGTCATGATCTCACGGCTTGTGAGTTCAAGTTCTGCGTCAGGCTCTGTGCTGACAGCTAGGAGCCTGGACCCTGCTTTGGATTCTGTGTCTCCCTTTCTCCCTGCCCCTCCCCCCCACCTTTTTCTCTCTCTCAAAAACAATTAAACATAAAATCTTGATTTTCCCTTTGGATTTAGAGAAAATGGTCTTGTGACAATGGGTCCTGGACTGAGAAGTGATGAGGGGTGGAGGACTGAATCTGAATCAAAAGAGCTCCTACAGGGCAGAGAGGCCCCCCCAACACAACACAGCTGAGATATGGGGCAGCATACAAATACTCCAGGTGTGGAGGAGGCCTTGGGGAAGCAGGGACAGAGAGACCATACAGGAGAGCGGTGAAAACGCTGGACAAGTAGTCAGAAGGCCCTGGTTCAGGCCTAGAGTCTGTTGCTTATGAGCCACATGATGGTGCTGAACTCCCCTGAGAAAACTAGACCTCAGTGATGTCATAGGTAGTGTGAGGCTGATCATTCAGAATTAACCTGGGATCAGGAGAAATAGTTCTAAATTAAGTTGCTTAATTCTATATTAAGTTATTAATTTCCTTCTCACCCCTTTCCTGATTCAGATGAGGCTTTTATTAACCATCCTGTTCCCGGGGGGGGGGGGAGGGAAGCAGGCTAAATCCAGTAGAGACATAGTATGGTTTTTATGTCATTTTTTCCATATGTGGCCCACTACCTATTAGGCAATTTTGTCCCAAAGCCATTGCTACCATCAATGGCATCAATAGCAGCCAATGCCACCTGGTAGCTTCAGGC